CTCTAGCTCCCTGGTCTCCTCCTCCCATGCCCGCCTCCAGGACTTCTCCAGGGTGTCACCCATCTTCTGGAACTCCCTGCCCCAACCCATCAGATTATCACCTACTCTCCTCTCCTTTAGGTGCACCCTGAAAACCCACCTCTTCAGGGAAGCCTACCCCACCCCCTGCTAACTTGCCGACCTCCTCCACTCTTCCTACCACTCCATCCCCCACAGCTATCTCCTCCTGTGCCACTATCCCCTCCCTCCTAGATTGTAAGCTCGAAAGAGCAGGGCCCTCGATCCCCTCATGTTTTGCATTGTATTGGTATTGTTCTGTCACATGTTCTGTCCCCCTTTGTAATGTACAGCGCTGAGCGAACTATTGGCACTTTATAAATACTGTATAATAATAATAGTATACAGTGCACCACAATGCATTTACATCTGCGCGTTCTGGTGTACAGATGTTTCTATACGTGCATTATTTATATGGGCATTGGTGTTTCATTTACAAGAGATGGCAGCTGACACATACCAAGTGTGTGGTGCACACGTGTTAACGTGTGCATAGGTGTGAAGAGGCTGAAAATGTGTTTGAAGTGTTTTTACTTCCTAGGTGTTAGTTACTATTACATATGTCATTTTTCCTGAACTTCAGTAGATCCGCATTTCAGTGATGTGCTTTCCACATGTGAATAATTATTTTGGTGGCCCCAGTTCCAGCGCTGACAGATCTGTAATAATAATTGAAGCTCAATGACATTTTTTCAAAACTCTTGCCAGTTTATGCTTCACTACTTGCTTCAGTGACCTAGAACAAGTATACAAAGGTACTTCATATTTGCTCTGGGTCACTAATTCATTGGGTTGTTAGTGAAGGATGAGAACGGTAGATCAGAATACCTACACTTTTTAAAAAACAAGACAGCAGTAGCAGCTCTAATATTTCTGTCCTCTGAGGTCCCTTGTAAGTGATAGAGTAGACAAGGCACATGTACAATGCTTGGAAACGTGAAGGTTTCCCAAGGATGGCAGGTAGCATATGAGCAATCGGTTCCTTTTTCTGCCTTTGGAAACCAATTTTAGTTTCTTACCCTGAGGAAAGTTGCCATTTATATAAAATTTTTCAGCTTTTAATTTCATAATATAGTTCAAGTATATTAGCCAGAAAACCAGCCTGTGTACTATTTCATTTAGTTTCACTTTATTACAAGAACAATTCAGTACTGTCCGTGATACTTTTTTTATTTGCACTAACATCCAATTTTGAGGACAAGCTTTCGGGGTATGTCCCCTTCTTCAAGGTCTAAGCAGTACTCAAGGGAATTGACTGCACTGACTTCTGGAATAATTCAACAAAAACTGAAAAGGAAGCACCATGCCACTGTTAAGAGGTTTTAAATACAACTTCCAGTAAAAAGATAGAGGGAAAATCTAAAAGTTAGCCAAACGCGTTTCGTTGGTCTAATAACGCCCTCTTTACGAGGGCTTGATTGACAACAGTATGAACAGACTAAAAATGAATTGGACCTTTTTAATAGTATTTCTTCCAGTGTGATTACATGATCTTGTCAGCAGGTAGTTTGGCAGCCAAACCAGCTACTGAAAAGGCCTGTGCTTGTAATCATACTGGAAAAATACCATGAAAAGGTCCAGTTCACTTCTTGTCTATTCACATTGTCAATCAAACTCTGATGAAGTGGGTGCTCTTGGACCCCCAAAACGTGTTGTATACTTTTTGGATTTTCCCCCATGACTGTTCTCAGAATAAAATTGTATATGGACCTCTTTGCAGTGGTGTGGAACTTGGAGTGTGGCACTGTAATGATCATCTAGGGCAGGGGTACTGATGTAAAATTCACGGGGGTTTGGTCAGTAAAAGTTTCTGCCAGAGGAGGTCCGAGTGTCATGTTGGTGCTATGACTCAGATCCTTCACATCACGGCCTCTCGTCACATCACAGTTCCTCCCCCCATCCCCCTCTGTTACATCACAGACTGCCCCATCACAAATCCGCTACTCCCATCACAGCCCCCCCCATCACAGCCCCCTCATAAATCACATTGCATCACAGACCCCCCAACTGCTCCATCACTGACTCCCCAACTGCTCCATCACAGACCCTGTCCATGACAGACACCTCAGCACAAACCCCCGTCATCACTGATCCCCTCCATCATATATCTTTCATCAAAGATCCCTCCTTACAGACCCCCCAATCACAGACCTCCCCCCCCCTCATCACAGATCGCGCCCTGCATATTACAGATTCCTTTCATAATATCGCAGCACTCCCCCCTCCCCTCCCCACACTGTTCTACCTTATTCACACAAGAATAACAGCAAGCATGGCAGGTCTGGACATAGGGCGGGACTTTTCATGTTAAAGGCGAGTAAATGATTGCTTGGACCGCCCCACTGCCTAGCAACCAGTTGCGGGTAACCAATCCCTTGCTTCCTAACCTGAAAAGACCTTTCCTATGTCCAGACCTGCTGTGCTTTCCGGCTTGTGTCAATAAGGTAGGACAGTGTGGGGAGGGGGCCTCAAATGTTGTGCCCTTCCTTCAGGATAACAGCGGCAGGCAGGTGAGTCGGCGGCGGGCAGAGTCCATTCAGGCAACTATTCGGTGAGCCTGCGGTCCAGATCCGGACTGCGGTCCGCCATTTAGTGATGCCTGATCTAGGGGGTAGAAGCTGCTTGCCCAAGAACCAGATCATTCACATCAACATCAATACTTTAAAATAGCAATACCAGTGAGATTACCCTATGGGTCCAGCACTATTTTTCCACTTTCTTCAACTGTTCTTGATTAATGTAGACATCCGTGCAGACTATTCCCTTACCACATCCCCTAAGAGTGCCATTAATGCCCACTGAAATACTCTCATTGCACTTTCTGCAGATAGGTGCACTTCTTTTATAAACGAATACAAAAAGGGCGCACTCTCATCGTGCATTACCGTGGTATACCACGTAATTTATTAGATAAAAAAGGATGTATACTCACAAACCAACGTGATTATAGGCAGTATGGGTGATCCACAAAGACACTATACAACTGCAATGATGCCGGATAAGCTGTATACACTATTTATTAGATAAAAAAGGATGTTGTGGATCACCCATACCAACGTGATCATAGGCAGTATGGGTGATCCACAAAGACAGTCACTATTTTTTTATGTGTCTAATGATGCGGTTGCCAAAAAAGTCTTGGTATGGATCACAGTTAAACCAATATTGGTTTGTGAGTTTTTTTCCTTTTTTATCAATTACTTGGTTTGTGACCACCTGTGGTGTTATGCAGATTGAGATTTGTTTGGTATTGGACAATGGCAAACAATAATACCCGCAACCGTGGGTAAAAGAGGTAAGGGATGCATGAGAGTGCGCCCTTGTTTGTTTTCATTTACCAGTGGTCAGATTTCCCGATCTCAGAAGGGCAGCACCTCTTCGATTGGCATTTTGGCAATTCCTTGGTTTGCATGAAGGTTGGAGCGCTGGTTTCGTTTGTCTAGCACTTCTTTTATAAACTCTATGACAGTTTTGTCATCTTTCTAGCAAATTTCCAAGAGAAATATATAATGAATGCAGAGAGGGACAATGGCACATTGGGTAAAAAGTGATGAGCAAACAAAGGAAACATGAAGAGCAACAGAAACCTGATAGAAGATCTTCTCCCATGCACTGTGAAATTATTTGTGGGTGTGTGTACGTATGTACGGGGTGCCCCAAAAGTCTGAAGTTGTTACATACAGAGATGGTTGTTCTGGGCTGATTTTGACAGACTACTATAGGGATGGAAATGATGATCTCTCTAGTTACTTGATGCCTATGGATCCAGACATTGGGACACCCTATATATCCTCTACATGCATACATATGCACAGAATATACAGTATACATTTTTCTTTTTATTGTGTTTCTTTAAATATTTGAATGCATTCACGTACATACATTGGTGGGCATTTGTGAAAACATGCCCAGGGAAAATGTGACGCACATCTAAGGTTACAGTTTGTGGACAAAAGCAGACAGTATGGCTGACTTGGGGTGCAATACCTGATTTTGTCATTATGATTTTTCATGCTTGTATTGTGATGAAATGTGGAATCCTCTTTTTTTTTTTTTTTTTTCTTTCTTGGAAACATAATGTTTAGTGAACATTCCCTTGTTTTTTGGTGTCTGATGATGTTTATCTCCTCATTCCATTGCATTGAATGGCAGCTTCTGGCCGGGATGATAGCAGAGCCTGCTTTACTCTCTGAGTACACTATTTTTGCTTTGGACCATACCAAATGGTCTAAACCACAGAGTGACAGTGTGGTGAGTCCCGCCCTTCCTTTCAGCAGTGCCTGAAGTGTAATTACTCTAGAATTGCTTCTAGACCCCTCTAGTAGTAATTCAGTGCCTCTGTATTAGTAACCAGCACTAATCGTATTGTTTCTGTGTGCTTTTTATGTGGAGTTTCCTTAATTTGTTCTTATAACATATTACTTCTGTTAATGTGCTTCTAACATTTCCTTGACAAGTCTTTGCACGTTCCTAATTCTCAGTGCTTCTGAATCATTAATACATGGGCTACTTGTCTCCAGGAAGGGCAAACACTAGTCTTTGTTCATTGAGGTATGGAAATAGAAGCCTAAACACTGTCCACTTACTCATTGAGGCTCCTTGCACACTAGCATTTTTTTCTTTTACGCAAAAAAAAAACAAAAATCACTGGAAAAAACGCTGGTAATAGCGTTTTTATTCACGTGTTAGTAGCGCTTGGGAGCATTATTGTTTTTACAGTACATTTAGAAACAAAGAAAAAGCTTTTAGTAGCGTTTAGCTTTTTTTTTCTGCTGGAAAAACGCTCAAAAAAAAACTCGACAAAAACTATTTTTTTTTTCTGCTCATAGACTCTGAAGCTCAAAAAAACGCTAATAGCCTAAAGTAGTGTGCTTGGACACATAGGATAACACTATTTAGCTTCTTGGAGCAGAAAAAAAACTGCTAACAGGAGCTTAACCCCTTTACGCCGGCCGCACACAAATGTGCGGCCTCCTGGCGTCTGGGCCTAGACGCTGAGCGGCCGCACATTTGCGTTAATGTAAGAAAAAACGTATGTGCTGAGAGCGCACGCCCTTTGCGCTCCCAGCACACATGTCCGGTACTCACGGAAAGGTCCCGGTCTGCTCTTTCGATCGGGACCTTTCCCAATCATGTGACCGCCGTGAAGACGCGTCACGGAGGTCACATGATCCCTAAAGCACACCCCACCTGCCCCGCCTCCCAGTGTCTGACCCTCCTAAAGGGTCCGGGGCACCGGCGGGAAGGGGTTAAAGAGACTCTGGGATAGATAGCCCTGCGCGCTCCCAGCACACATGTCCGGTACTCACGGAAAAGGTCCCGATCTGCTCTTTCGATCGAGACCTTTCCCGATCATGTGACCACCGTGAAGACGCGTCACGGCGGTCACATGATCCCTAAACCCCGCGCCACCTCCCGGTGTCTGAAACTCTTAAAGGGTCCGGGAGGCACCTGCAGGAAGGGGTTAAAGAGACTCTGGGATAGGCAAAAAGAAAAACACCCAATAGTACACCACCTTACACAAAATCCTAAACAGTTTATATATTGTATATTACATTGTTTATACAGTGAAATTCCTTACCATTTGAAGAGAAAAGTCTAATTGATTTTTCAGGAAGTCAACTTTGTAATTCAATAAAACGTGCGATTTCGTTTGTGCAATCGCAGCTTGTCGCTCGGAAAAACGCAGCAAAAATGTTCTGCATTTTCAGGTGCAATTGAAATGAATATGATGGAGAGCTGCTGGGGAAGCAGCACACAGGTTTTTTTTTTTTTTATTTTCAGGCATGGAATGCAGTAAAAGTCAAAAAACTTTCTACCTTTTACAACCAATTTAATAGCTTGTTGAACCTCCTTTGGCAGCAGTGACTTCAAGTAGGCGCTTTGGGTAGCTCTGGATCAGACCTGCACAACGTTCAGGAAGAGCTTTTGACCATTCCTCTTTACAAAACTGTTTCAGCTCAGATACGTTTTGTAGGATGTCTAATGTGAACGGCTCTCTTGAGGTGATTCCACAACATCTCGTAGGGTGCTTAGGGTCATTGTCCTCCTGCATTACCCAATTACTATTAAGCTTCAGCTGGTGGATGTTTTGGAAAACTTGGGAATCATTTTCCCCTTGATCATGGCAAGAGGTCCAGGCCCTAAGACAGTGAAGCAAGTCCAGTTCCTAATATTCCCCCCCCCCATCACCCTTCACCATTGGGATGGTGTTTTGATGTCGGTAAGCTGTACCCTTTGTGTGCCATACACAGTGCTAAGTATTTTTCCTGAACAATTTAACTTTTGTTTCATCAGTCCACAAAACAATTTCCCAGTAACATTGCGGTTTGCAATTTTTTTTTTTTTTTTTTTTTTGAGAGCAGGGGCTTCCTCCATGGTGGTCTGCCTTGGACACCCTGCCTGATCAAAGACTTGGTAGAGTCATAAACAGCGATAAAAACTGTCAGTATTTTGTTTTGAATTTGGCGCAAATTGCATAACACACTATATAATACATCTGTATAGTGCGCAAGATGTTAAAGGCTTCAAGCAGCGTTAGTTACAAATCAATGAGTCTCCTGGCATGCACTTACCCACACGCTGCGTCACTAAGCCCCACCCACGCACGCACGCCTCCTTACCCCACCCTACGTCAATGATGACTGCTTTAGAGGCAATGATTTACAGTACAAGTAGATTTGGCATATTGTATATGGTTGTTTGGTCCCTTTAACAATGTCAGGCCACCTTCTCTACAGCTAAACAGTGCCGAATGCCAAATTTACAAAATCTTGCGTTCTTCTCCTCACCTGTTTCACTTGACTGAATTGATTTCAGTCATCCTGGTAAACACACAAGGTGGTGCAGAAATTAGTCCTACGGTGCCTTGAAAAAGTATTCATACCCCTTGAAATGTTCCACATTTTCTTATGTTACAACCAAAAATGTAAATGTATTTTATGTGATAGACCAACACAAAGTGGCACATAATTGTGAAGTGGAAGGAAATTGATAAATGGTTTTCAACATTTTTTAGAAATAAATATCTGAAAAGTGTGGCATGCATTTGTATTCAGCCCCCTTTACTACGATACCCCTTACTAAAATCTAGTGGAACCAATTGCCTTCAGAAGTCTCTTAATTAATAAATAGGGTCCACCTATGTGTAATTTAATCTCAGTATTAATACAGCTGTTCTGTATAGCCCTCAAATGTTTGTTAGAGAACAAGTGCCTTGAAAAGGTATTCATACCCTTTGAAATTCTCCACATTTTTTCATGTTACAACCAAAAATGTAAATGTATTTTATTGGGATTTTCTGTGATAGACCAACACAAAGTGGCACATAATTGTGAAGTGGAAGGAAAATAATAAATGGTTTTACAATTTTTTACAAATAAATTCCTGAAAAGTGTGGCATGCATTTGTATTCGGCCCCCTGAGTCAATACTTTGTAGAACCAACTTTCTTTGCAATTACAGCTGCAAGTCTTTTTGGGTATATCTCCACTAGCTTTGCACATCTAGAGAGGGAAATATTTACCCATTGTGCTTTGCAAAAATAGCTCAATCTCTGTCAGATTGGATGAGTGCGTCTGTGAACAGTCCTTTTCAAGTCTTGACACAGATTCTCAGTTGGATTTAGGTCTGGACTTTGACTGGGCCATTCTAACACATGAATATGCTTTGATCTAAACCATTCCATTGTAGCTCTGGCTGTATGTTTTTGGGTCGTTATCCTGCTGGAAAGTGAACCTCCACCCCAGTCTCAAATCTTTTGCGACTCTGACAGGTTTTCTTCTAAGATTGCCCTGTATTTGGCTCCATCTATCTTCCCATCAACTCTGACCAGCTTACCTATCCCTGCTGAAGAAAAACATCCCCACCACATGATGCTGCCAGTGTGATGTGCAGTGTTAGTGTTTCGCCACACAGCGTTTTGCTTTTAGACCAGAAAGTTAAATTTTGGTCTCATCTGACCAGAGCACCTTCTTCCACATGTTTGCTGTGTCCCCCACATGGCTTCTCGCAACTGCAAACGAGATTTCTTATGGCTTTCTTTCAGCAATGGTTTTCTTCTTACCACTCTTCCATAAAGGCCAGATTTGTGGAGTGCGTGACTAATAGTTTTCCTGTGGACAGATTCTCACCCCTGAGCTGTGGATCTCTGCAGCTCCTCCGGAGTTACCATGGGCCTCTTGGCTGCTTCTCTGATTAATGCTCTCCTTGCCAGGCCTTTCAGTATAGGTGGACGGCCATGTCTTGGTAGGTTTGCAGTTGTGCCGTACTCTTTCCATTTTTGGATGACGGATTGAACAGTGCTCCGTGAGATGTTCAAAGCTTGGGATATTTTTTTTTTTTTTTTATAACCCAACCCTGCTTTAAACTTCTCCACAACTTTATCCCTGACCTGTCTCTTCCATGGCCTTCGTGATGCTGTTTTTTTCACTAATGTTCTCTAACAAACATTTGAGGGCTTCACAGATTAGCTGTATTTATACTGAGATTAAATTACACACAGGTGGACTCTATTTAATAATCAGGAGACTTCTGAAGGCAATTGGTTCCCACTAGATTTTAGTAAGGGGTATCGGAGTAAAGGGGGCTGAATACAAATGCATGCCACACTTTTCAGATATTTATTTCTAAAAAATGTTGAAAACCATTTATCAATTTCCATCCACTTCACAATTATGTGCCACTTTGTGTTGGTCTATCACAGAAAATCCCAATAAAATACATTTACATTTTTGGTTGAAAAAATGTGTAAAACAATTTCAAAGGGTATGAATACCTTTTCAAGGCACCGTATGAGGGTTTTGTAAGTCAAATAGTTTATATCAACAATTTTGAAAGCATCAAAACCAGAAATACGTAATGCACAATTTAGAGAATTTAAAGTTTAGAACTTTGTAATTTAGAAAAACATTGTCATTAGACTGGAGTTGCTCTTTAAGAATTTCTGTAATGTACATTTCCATGAACTAATATATGTTTTTGTGGTTGCAAGGGGATTATTTGCATCAGCGAACATCGTAATAAAACTTACTCCTAATTTCTGCCGATATTGGATATGGGGTCTTTTTACTAATGCAGCTTAATTTGTCTGATGAATTGCATATACAGATATATACTTGTGTTGCATCTCATCAGAATGAATATTCAAAGAAAGTAGTTGTGTGTGAAGTTTAAGCGTACGATGATGTATGCAAATTCTTTTGAAGTATATAATTCGTTGAAAATAAAGATTACACTCAGAGGATTTTCTAAACGTACAATATGCTCTTTCCAATAAACCACATTATTGACCCCTGTGGTTTCTTTCGGTATACTTACAGAAATGTAAGTGTACCGAGCTGCAACTAAATGTACAACTACTATTTCTTGAGTATTGTTACACAGATCTAACCGACATTTTAAACATCATTGTTTAACAAGGCTTAATTGCTGGTTAACAAAGTTTGATATGGCTAATGAAGTATTCCCTAAAAGTTGTATTTATTTGTAAAAGATATACATATAAATGCATACACCATGTGCTTTTTTTTTTCACCCAGAACATATCAAGGTCTCCAGACAGTATAAATGGAAATGATCCTGCCTCAAGTCAGGTAAGTTAGCCACAAGGGAAATCCTTTTTTTTTTTTTTTTTTTTTTTTTTTTAATGGATTTTATTGGAGAAAAAAAACAAGCTTCAAGGAACAATAACACAGTAACATCTACCCAACACAATTAGTACACATGGCACGACATAAACAATATCTCCACCAGTATCATAGCAATAATAACAGGACATTTCAAGAATAGAAGACACATCAGGACAAAGCCTCACAATAAGATTTTTTTTTTTTTTTTTTTTTTACTTTATAAGATTATTATTATACAGTGTTTATAAAGCGCCAACAGTTCGCTCAGCGCTGTACATTACAATGGGAGACAGTACATGCGACAGTACAATAACAATACAATGCGATACACGAGGGGTTCGAGGGCCCTGCTCCTTGGAGCTTACAATCTAGGAGGGAGGGGATGGTGGTACAGGAGGAAATAGCTGTGGGGGATGGGGTGGTAGGAAGAGTGGAGGAGGTCGGCAATTAGCAGAGGGTGGGTTAGGCTTCCCTGAAGAGATGGGTTTTCAGGGTGCGCTTAAAGGAGAGGAGAGTAGGTGATAGTCTGATGGATTGGGGTAGGGAGTTCCAGAGAATGGGTGACTCCCTGGAGAAATCCTGGAGGCGGGCATGGGAGGAGGAGACCAGGGAACTAGAGAGTAGGAGGTCTTGTGAGGAGCGGAGTGTGCGTGCTGGGCGGTACTTGGATATTAGATATAGAATACTGTGCAAAAGTTTTAGGCAGTTCTGAGGACGCTTTGAAAAATAAAGAAATTGTTAGTTGAAATTATTATTGTTTTTAACTTGACCAATATTAGTTTTAATTTGTCAAGTTAAATCCGTTTTAAACCTAAAAAACATAAATAGTATTTTATTGAAGCTTACCAGTCCTTAGATGTGGTGGCTGC